TGCCACACTGTTTCCTAGATCAGCTGCACCATTATACACTTCCACCAGGAGTTACAATTTCTCCTCATTCTCCCCAACATTTGTCATTATCTTTTTAATTCTAGCTATCCTAGTGGGTGTGAAGTGGTATTTCACTGTAGTTTTTTTTTTTTTTTCTGCTTTTTCTCCCCAAATCCCCCCAGCACACAGCTGCATATTTTAGTTGCGGGTCCTTCTAGTTGTGGCACATGGGACGCCACCTCAATGCAGACTGACGAGCAGTGCCATGTTTATGACCAGGATCCAAACCAGCGAAACCCTGGGCCACCAAAGCAGAGCACGTGAACTTAACCACTCGGCCACGGGGCCGGCCCCTCACTGTAGTTTTAATTTGAATTTCCCTAACGACTAATGATGTTGAGCATTTTCTCACGTATTTATTGGCCATTTGTGTGTCTTCTTTGGAGAAATATCTATTCAGAGCCTTTGCTCATTTTTAAATTGGCTTTTTTATTACTCAGATGTAACAGTTCTTTATACTAAATACAAGTCCTTTAGCATATATATGATTTGAAAATATTTCTCCCATTCTCTGGATTGTCTTGTTACTTTGATAGTGTTCTCTGAAGTGCAAAAATTTGAAATTTAATAAATTCTAATTTTTCTCTTCCTTGTGCTTTTGGCATCATATCTAAGAAAATTTTTCCTAACCCAAGGTCACAGAGATTTATGCCTGTTTTCTTCTGAGTTTTTATAGTAGTAGCTTTATATTTAGGTCTATGAACCACTTTGAGTTAATATTTGCATATAGTGCAAGATAGGGTTGTCCAACTTCATTCTTTTACATGTGAATATCCAGTTGTCCCAGTATCATTTGTTGAAAAGACTTCCTTATTGAATTGTCCTGGTACCTTTGTCAAAAATCAACTGACTATATATGAAAGGGTTTATTTACATATATGTAAATAAAAATAGAAAATCTCAATCCTATTCCATGGATCTATATTTCTATCCTTATGCCAGCACCCATTCTGTCTTGATTATCATTGCTTTATAGTAAGTTTTGGAATTAGCAGTGTGATTCCTCCTACTTGCTTCTCTTTCAATACTGTTTTGGCTATTCTGGGTTCACTCCATTTCCACATGAAGTTTAGGACCAGCTTGTCAATTTCTGTATAAACAGAAGTAGAGGTTTTGATAGAGATTGTGTTGAATCTCTAAATGATTGGAGAATATTACTAACAATAATTAAATCTTCCAATCATTAACATTTCTTTGAATTTATTTAGGTCTTCCTTACTTACTTTCACCAATGTTTTGTAGTCTTAGTGTACAAGTCCTACACTTTTTTTGTTAAAGTTATTCCTAATTATTTTCAATGCTATTGTAAATGGAATTGTTTTCTCAATTTCATTTTTAGTTATATAAATTTCTAGGGCATATAAATGCAATTTATTTTTGTGTAATGATCTTTTACCTGCAATCACACTGAACTCATTGGTTCTGAAAGTTTTTTAATAGATTTCTTAAGGTTTTCTATATACAAGGTCATGTCATATGCGAAAAGACAGTTTTACATCTTCCTTTCCAACCTGGATGCCTTTTCTTTCTTTTTCTTGTCTAATTGCCCTGGCTAGAGGCAATAGTACAACACTGTGCAACATGCCCTTCTATAAGTGCTTTGAACATCATGCACCCTATGAAGATCATTCCCAGATTTTCCTAGTCAACTGTTTCCCCAACGGGTATCACCACCTCAGGCAGCTATGATGTTCAACAACTGCCATGATTTTTTTAAAATAAATGCCCTGGGGAAAGTTTTCCCACTGAGCAAGCTCTGAATCATATCAAATAAAGGCAAGCACCATGAATGGCTTTTCCAGGGAACTGCCAGACAGGTCAAATAGTGACAATTCTCTGGCAATGGGGCTTTTTGAGGAGCTTAAATTCTGCCACTTCCACTGGTGGTTAGGCTACTGGTTTTCACAGCTAACATGACTGTGAGGCTGCTGGTTTAAAAGGCTACTGCAGAGCTGGGGACAGAAGATGGGAGCAAGATAAAAACACTAGAAAGCTTGCAATTCTTACCAAGATACAGCTGTTTTTCTTGAATAAATGCTCTTCAAATTGCTGCAAGTCATTGGTTAATTCCCTAGAGTTCTGAAAAAGCTGATTTTGACAATTTTTGCCAATGTTCTTGTTGCTTTATGGTGGAGTAGGTTTTCAGAAGTCCTTACTTTGCCATTCCAGAACTGCTTCCAAACGTAGTTTTAATGGCAAAAGATATGGTTATACCAACAACTAAGAAATGATAAAGCATGTCATCTTCTGAGTTAAAAGAGGGATGCTAAGAGAAACTTAATAAATGTTGACATTTAAATACACACTGAAATGACTCAGCACCGATACTATGAAATGGACTAGAGGCTTCCCATAAATTCCATTTAAGAAACAGTTTATATTCTTAATTCTTTCCTTTCCAATACCCTTGAACTAAAACAGGACATTTTCTTTGCCTCAATTATTTTAGTGAAATGTGCCATCCTTGACTTTTTCCTTACCTCCATTATTTCCCTGCCCAAATCATCCTCTCTGGTTAGCTATTTTATTCTAAAACAAACAGGACTGTGTGATTCAGCTACTCTTAAGATCATAATAGAGTTCTCTCTCTTATAAAGCAACCTCATGATCCTCTATGATCTGTCCCCAAAATACTTTTCCAAGCTTTTTTCTCAGCTCCCCCATGAATATCCTATACACCAGCCAAATTACAGCCCTTTCCCAAACATACCCTTTGAGCTCTCTTACTTTCCTTGGCCTGGAATGTCTTTCAGTTCCAAACAAGTGCAACTCTACTGTTCCTTTAAAATGGGCCCAATGTCTATTCCTCAACTTCATCATTCCTCTCTTCCCTTTCTCTTCTTTGCGGTGACATACATTACTGCTTTTCTTATAGTTTATTACATACTTCATCATTCTCCGACTGTCCCTAGGGCAGTGAACACATTTGTTTGCCTTTGCATTGCCCTTACATGTACACATATTTCAAGAAACATTTATGACGTTAAGGTACTTAGGAATTTGTCTCTTTTCACTACACATTAATATTTGCCATTCTAAAACAATAAATAAAAATAAATACTATCTAATTTAGTATGCTACAAAATCTGATTCTCACCCTAGTTTCACAACAGAGAAGTTGCTGGTATTATGTGAAAAGTGGGGTCTCATTACCAATATTGGCAAATACTAGGCTAAATAAAACTAAACAGGCTTCTTTTCTAGAGAACTTTTTAAAACCTTCACCATCTAAAAATGCATGATCAATCTCCAATTTAGCCTTATTTTCCAAACAAATAATCATAGAATTATTTTTGTGCTGAACATCCCAAGCGACAAGTGTTCAGCAGAACACATTCGTAAAATGCTGGTCTAATGCTTTATTTAAAATAGTGAATATAAATAAAGTGGTCTATCCTTTATTCCCTTTAATTACTCAAATTTTCTTTAAACCTAACTGCTGTGTCTTCATTACTGAATCAGCTAAAATTAAGTTCTACTATAAAACAGGAAACCTAAAAAGTAGCAATGGTTTGAATGTGTGGCAATGGTTCTCTTTAGTATGCATTAGAATGATTTAAAGCACTTGTTAAAACTCAGATTGCCAGGCTCCATCCTCAGAGATTCCTATTTAGTAAGTCTGGTGTGGAGCCAAGAATTTGCATTTCTACTAAGTTCCCAGGTGATGCTGAGGGTGTTGGTACAGAGACCACACTATGAAGTGAGGGTTTATTCTCTCAAATAACATGAAATCTTGAGGCTAGTACAGAGGCTCCAGAATGATTAGGGACACCAGCTCCTTCTAATTTGTTACTCCATCATCCTAGTTCATGGGTTTCATCCTCAAAATCACCTCATGATTCAAGGAGGCTGCTCAATTTCTAACCATCATGTTAGCTTCCAGGCAATAGAAAAGGGATAAAGGCAAAAGGGCCCATCTCCCAGCTAAGTCAGCTCCTTCTAAGGAGCTTACTTGCAAGAGCTTAGTCAAAAGGCTTCAGCTAAGGGAGAAAATGGCAAATGTAGTCTTTTAGCCAAGTACACTGCCACTCAAATAGAACTGGAATCTATTACTAAGGAAGAAAGGAATACTGGATTTTGAATAGGCAACTAGAAACTCTACCATACTACTTTAGTCTACATATACTTCAATCACCGAAGTCCAACTGATTTGTCTAATTAGTTCATAAATTTTTCCCATATGTTTCATCATTATTTCTACTTCCTTAGATCTTGTTTTCATCATTTCTAACCAGTCTCCCTTCCTCCTATCTTCGTGGTAGGCAGAAGATACATTTTGAGGGAGCTAAAGCTTTTTAAAATTCTTCAATGACTCCACATTTCCTATAAAACGTTTAGGTATGAGCATTTTATTATTTCGTACAAAGCCCTCATGTACCTATATGACTATTCCCTGCCTCATATTAAACACAAGAGTTTCTCCCTTCGGCACTTTCACCATGCTTTCTCTGCTAATTAAGATACTCCTGCCCCTCCTTCACCTTTACCACTTATCTTTTAAGATTTAATTAAGGTAGCACCTCCTCCAGAAACCTTTCCCTGACACTCTTCTTCTATAGGATGAGTATCCCTCCTGTGTAATCCCATAAAGCTCTGTCCAGAGCTATCAATAGGTATTCTATATGACATTATGAAGACCTGTTTACATCTCTTTCTCAATAGACTATGCGCTTTGTACACGTTAAGGACTATGTTTTATTTATCTTTAGATCCCCATAACTGGGTACAAAGCAGATGCCAACTATCATTTGTTCACCAATAAGTATGACCCTCATCATCAGCTGGCCAACATAGTGAAAATCTGTATAGGATCTGTCCAAAAATCTAATAACCTTTTCCATTACAAATATCATAGCCTAATGATACAATTTCAAAAAGTAACTACAGACAGAAAATTCTTCCTTAACAACTCCAGTTAAATGAAATGTCAAAGTACACAATTTTTTGCATAGCCAAACATCTTTTATTTTTCACAACTAGAATACCAAAGACAACCCAACTAGCTCCAGAAAACTTCCAGATTTTTTTTCTGTTTATTTAACTAAACAAAACAAAGTTTTGAAAAGCAAAATCTGCAACAACAAAATAATATTAATCTGTCAATCGAAGTTGGTTTCACCATTTATGGTCTTTTCCTTATATTTATCCAAGTTCTTCATCTTTAATTCTTCTTCCTCTTTATATTGAGTATATTCAGTATGTTTTTCTGGGTTTGGATTTGATTTCCCTTTTGGTAGCAAGAAACATTCAGCATTCAAAACTTGCTCAGCAGTCATTGAATTTCTACAACAGATCAAGCTACAGAGGAGGGATTTGACATTATCATCCTACAAGGAAAAAAAAGATATTACAAAACAAAAACAAAATCAAAACAAACAAAGGACAAACCTGTAACAAGCAAGGAGGACCCAATTCAAAAACACTTTTAATCGATACAGAGTTAAATCAATTTTTCATATTTAGATTTTTAAAGATTTTTACAAAATTCAACTAGTTTTTGTTAAAAAGGAATTATTCCAGTTAATAAAAAAAAGTGGAACTGAATTATGGGGAAAATATGTAAAGGGACAAAAGAGAATAACAACTGAACTATCTTAAAAACTACAAGTGAAATTCAAAAAAAGGACATTTTATGACTTCTTTTCCCTCTTCTTTAGGGCACTAGTCAGCATGTGACACTATGAAAATTTTACACTGAACCTCCTGTCTGGAAAGGTAACCTCCTGCACCTGGTCAACCATTTCTGGTTTCAGTTTTGAAATAATCTCCTCTACCATTATCACTATCATTATAGGATCCACTATTTATTATGTGCCACTATTTCAACGAATGTTATTTGTATTATCATGTTTAAACAACACTATGATGTTGCTCTTCCATCATTTCCACCTCCCAAACCAACTGGGTATGCCTTTTTTTTTGCCCCCTATGATGACTCCAATCAGAAAACAGTTAACATTTAATAAATTTCACCTGTTTATTACTAGTATCCTCATTAGACTATAAGATCCTTAAGGTCAAAAATTTTAGTTTATCACTTCATCTTCCAAAACTAGCATAGTGTGAAGGATACAGCAGATATTCAGTAAATATTTGCTACGTGAATAAATGCCAATGCCCATACTGCACTCTACAGAATATGTTTTTAAACATTTAAAGACAGTACCTTCAGTAGGTGTAAACTTAACTAAAAAACGCAAAATCTAAATAAGAAAAAAGTAGCACATGTTTCTGAAAACCACAAAAGTGGATTTAGAACAAATAGAAAATCATATGTTCTTGGACAAAAAAACTCACCTAACAAATGTGTCAATTTTCCCTAAGTTAATACAAAAATTGTTCAATATTCCTATAAAATACAATCACTTTTTTCCCCCTTGGAGTAGATATGTTAATTGTAAAGATCTTTTAGAAGAATAAGCAAGAAGAGACGTGAAAGCTGATTAAACAAAACAACACAGCAATGAGAAAGGAACGAGTCCTTCCAAATATTAGAAGATTCTATAAAGCCTGTTAATTAAAAGAATATGGCACTGGAATATGAATAGATAAACCAATGGAACAAAACAGAAAAACCAAAAATATACTCCAGCACAAATGAAATTTTAGTATATGAATTGGTGGCATTTCTGATGGAGGGAGGGGTAAATTTTTAATAAGAGGTATTGGGACAAATGGATACCAGTGGAAAAAGATAAGATCAGATCTATTCCTCACACCAAACACCAGGATAATTTCAAATGCATCAAAAATATAGATGTAAAAAACAAATTAACTAAGTACTAGGAAAAAAACAGTTTATTCAATTCCCAAAAGTAACTATAGACAAAAAAATTTTTCCTTAAGCTTTTCCCTCTTGTAGATTATAAAATTTTACAAAATCATAAAACACAGTCAAGAAACAAATAAAAAAGTAACCTCTGAAAGTCAAAACCAAAACTAATGAACTTAACCATATATGAGGTGACATAATCACATAGAATATAATTATTTCAAGTGATTTAAAATAAGTATTTCTGATTGTACAATCTTAGTGTGATAAAGATCTAGTGAGAGAGATCCCAACGTCAAAAAGAAATACCGTCAAAGAAATGTTAAACTGCATTCGATAACCTAATAATATCATTGTTACTTTCAAACTTACATTTATTTCAAAATTACATTTATTGTAGGTTAAAGCAATTGTGCAATTGTTAATATGATAAAAACTAAGACTGTTAGAGTAAAAGGAAGAGAAGATTTGAATTTAAAATTAAGTAAAAAGCCTATAGGGGCCAGCCCAGTGTCACAGCGGTTAAGTGCGCACATTCTGCTTCAGCAGCCCAGGGTTTGCTGGTTCGGATCCCAGGTGTAGACATGGCACTGCTTGTCAGCCCATGCTGAGGCAGCATCCCACTTGCCACAACCAGAAGGACTGACAACTAAAAATACACAACTATGTACTGGGGGGCTTTGGGGAGAAAAAGGAAAAATAAAATTTAAAAAAAAAAATTTTTTTTTGAAGCAGAGTGCATGAACTTAACCACTGGGCCATGGGGCTGGCCCCTATAATTCTGAATTTGATTTGGAAATACCTATACAATGTCTGTATTCATTTCTTTAAAAAATGCACTTCCCATTGAAAAGACCCAATAACAATGAGGAATCTTTGCATCCATATTTTTAAGTGTAAATTTCCTACTAATTGGGATTCAGGGTTCCTTGGAAAAATTTCATTTATTGGGCAAGGAATGTACAAGATAATCAGGGACACCTTATGCAAAAAGCAAGTTAGAAGAGATAACTAGATTTGTGACAAAGGTCACAGGATTCATCTTGAATAGAGTTTTCAAAAAGATGGAACGATCTGAGCAAAAAGATTGACCTTTTTTAATGACTTAAATGAACTGAGACACACTGACATATGCTTAAATTCATGAGATTATAATGATGCTATTTAAAATAAAAATTTGTAAATCTGATTGCTACCTTCTAGAGGTTGCTAAGACACCAACTCATTATTCTTAAAACTGCTTTCCCTGAAAGGACTAAAATTAAGGGTAACCCAATAGCTGTTGATGCAAAGTTTACCTTTAGAGAAGAATTCCAATTAATAAACACAGATGCAATAACAGAACTGGACAATCTTCAATAAAACAAAGTATCTAGACTATCAACATTCACTGATAGTAAAACTGTCAGGCAGTGAATGGAAAAATTAAATAACAGATGGATTAGGCTGACAACACCTGAACCCACTGATGAATCTTACTGTGATAAGTGAATACCAAATAACACTCCTCACATGACACAACCAGATGTGCAAAGCACCACCTATAAAATATACTTGCCGTACAACCTGAATCTGAAATTAATCAAGTCTCCATATCTACCAGATTTTTTTTAATTAGAGACAAGAGAAACATGAAATAATACCATAAAGATACAATCAGCCAACTCCAAAATGTGGAAAATGGAACAGTTTCTTCATCACATAAACAGCATGTAGAAAAGGAGGTAGGTGTGGGAGAACTTTATAGATCAAAAGAGATTTAGGAGATATATTATTCCAATATTTGTAGATCTCTTGAAATCTTGACTTGAAAAAGTATATATAAAAATATACTTGAGAAGATTAGGAAACTTAAATATGACATTAAAAAAATTCTTGGGAATGTAAATTGGTGCAGGCACGATGGAAAACAATATGGAGTTTCTGCAAAAAATTAAAAATAGAACTACCATCTTACATATAGAAAACTAAGGAATCCACTAAAAAAGTCAGAAGACTTAACATTGCTAAAATGGCAATAAATACTCCCCAAATGGAGCTACAGATTGAATGCAATCCTTATCAGAATCCGAGATGAATTCTTTGTAGAAATTCACTAGCTAATACTAAAATTCATATGAAGGAAAGTGACATCAGTAATATGGCAGAATAGGAGGTCCTAGCCCTTATCCACCCACAAAAACATTGATTTAACCAACTATTCACAGATGAAAATACCTTCTTTACAAGAGCTCAAAAGTTCAGCTCAGAGGTTAAAGCACCTGGTAGAGCAAAAAATCTGAGAACAGCAGCATGGAAAATGCTAAGAACAGTTCTACTTTACTGGTCATCTCTTCCCCAAGGTGGCACAGCTCAGAGCAAAGAGAGTCCTCCTCAGTCCATGATTTCTCTCGAGAGTGTGAAGTAAGTATCCAGACTCCCCAGCCTTTCAGGGTACTGCCCAAGAGGCCCTCTTCTGTCTTGCCTCACCAAGAAAGCTGAGGGAATCAGCATGCCTGGATCATCTAGGGTAGCTAAGGACAAAGAAAAGGGGCAGGGGCTCTCAAGCAAATGGTGCATGGATCTCAACAACCAGCCCAAGGACCCTGCCAGCTGGCCCACCCTACAGACCCCACCAGCCAAGCTGGCCCACACACAGACCCTGCCAGCTGGCCAACACATGCACAAACCCTGCCAGCCAGCTAGACCACTCATGGACCCTATCAGCCACCCAGTTGGCCTGATCACAGCCCTGGCAGCTGACCCAACTGTGAACCCAGGAAGCTGGCCTATGTGTGTCCCTACTGATGGTACCCTGTATGTCCTCACAGACAGCACAGATCGCAGCAGCCAGCTCAACTCTGCAGAATTGGGAGAAGGCAACCCTGAGATGACTCTATCAGGAGGGAGGGAGAGTAGTGGGGCTTACACCTATCACCCTGACACACTGGTACACTGGCTTAGGGAAAAGAAGCAGGCAACTCTCAATATTTGGCATGGCTCTTCTGGGTAGGGAGAAGGTACACACACAGAAATCTCCTTCAGGAGGGAGGGAGAGACATGGTGCTTGCACCCAATACCCTGGGCATTTCAGGACACTGCCCCAGGAAAAAGGAGCAGGCAGATCTCAGCACCTGACACGGCTCTGTGGGATCAAGAGAAAGCACACAACGCTAAGACTTCTATTTCAGGAGCAAGTATAAGGACTGAGCAGGCACGCCATAGAAAAGAACTGAGAGACCCCCCCCCCCCCCCCCCCCATCTCTAGCCAGGCTGCCTGGTGAAGATCCTTCCTTACCAAAGCCAGTCCAAGAGCAATGGAAAATATGACTGCTTCTTTAAATGCACAGATACTAACAAAAAGCTACAAGAAACAGGAAGAATCAGAGAAATAAGAAAACACCAAAGGAATAAAATAAAGCTCCAGTAACAGGCCCTAAAGAAACAGAGATATATGAATTGACCAACAAATCAAAATAATCATCTTAAAGAAGCTAAGTGAGCTACAAGACAAATAAATAAATCAGGAAACCAATGCATCAACAAAATGACAAATTCAACAGAGAGAAACCATAA